GAAGCAAAAATGAGCGGATCTCCCTTTGGAACTGCATTTTATTTTGATTTCAGTTGGGACTGTATTTTATTTTGTTGCACTATATCCAAGTTTACTACGCTTAACTTTTAAGTGTCATGCACTAATGTTTAGTGCACTTTATTTAAATTGTAAGGCAGGAATTGACTTTCTTCAGTACTTTGTGTTTTATTTTCCTGCACTTTGGTTATTTTACACAATTGCACGTCATTTCTTTTTTCAGAAAGTACGTGTCTTTTGGTTTAAAACCGAAAAACCGAAATCGAACCGAACAAAACCGAACCGAATCAACCGTGGTTGGACAAAAAATATGAACAAACCGAACCGAAGTTTTTAGTTTGATTCTACATTTGGTTTTAGGTCAAAACCGAACCGCATAAACCGAACCCACCCCTAGGATGAGACGTATTTGGACTTTTACTATTTTAAGATATTAATTTGTAAGTTTAAATTCCATTCATATAAGTTTATTTTATTTTTTAAATAAAATACATTCATATAATTTTTAAAAAAATTAATGTAGAAGTAACATGTGTCATCTACGTTTGCTATACATATACTCCGTATGTTTGTTGGTCTTTGAATTCTGAGATCTCACTTTCACGGAACACTACTCCTCTTTTTTACTTTTTACTATGTATTACCTTATTCCGTATTTTTCTTTGGCTTGCGTGAAACATGCGTGCTCGTTAAGGAGCCCGTCACGGGCTCGTTAAAATTTTCATCTATTTGGTGCTCAATTTGTAATAATTTTTGTTTTAAATACGTTTTTAGTCCTGGTAAATATAGCACATTTTTTTAGGTTCTTGTATTCTTTTTTGTTTTTCATCGCTAAAATTTATGTTGATTTTTTTAGTCCATCACTAATGGTAACAACCTTTGACAACGAAATAATCCCGACTAATAGGCAGGGGCGGAGCCAGAAAAAGGACTCAGCGGGGTCGAAATCAAATTTACATAGAATCAAAATGGTAGATTATTTTTAGACAATACCCGAATTGAATGTAGCTTAGATAAAAGATAGTTTAAATGAAACTAATAGAGTATATGTAGTTGATATATATGTCACATATATTATAAACTTGTTTTATACGGGTTTAGTTGAGTACCTCGGATGAGACTCATTGTCTTACCCTAGTACTCTATGGTTCTCTTCGATCTTACTCGGTTTAATATCAAAAGTTCTTACTAGAAAAGAATCGTTTATTGAGTAGACACTCGTAGCAGTAAAATATGTTGTCTTTGCTCTGTCACTAAGTCATGTCACGTAAGTAACGAGTGAATTACACGCTATTTTGTGAATATAATTAATATTACGCATCACAATTTTACTAATTTCAAGTTTAAATAGTGTTGATTTTGCAGATGTCATAACTTTTTACTCGTAATGAGTTACGTGGGCCATAATATATCAAATCGAAGATATTTCAGAGATCTACACTCCCTAATTTTCAGCGGGGTCGGCTGACCACCCTGACCCCCCCCCCCATAGCTCCGCCCCTGCTAATAGGTATCTTTTAATTATTTGTCATGTCATTCAAAAAGTATTTAATTTTATTTTTAAAAGGTTTTTAATACATATTTTAAAAATGTGAATAATTAGTTTTAATATTGTTTTTACTCTCTTATTTTCCTCAAAAAAAACTGATAAATTTAAACGTTTCGGGTAGATTTATGCAACTGATAATTAAAAAAATTTTAAGTAGAGATGTTTCGGAGTTAGAGATGGACTAAAATCAAAACAGGCATGTTACATTTATGAAAAGCCAATAAAATATTTTGCAGGGATCTAAAACAAAGTGTGTCATATTTGCAGGGACTAAAATAGTACGGGACCCGGGTCAGACCGCCCGAGCCCAATCCATCCCTTTTTTCAGTCATACATGTTTCAGTCTCAAATCAGACACTGAAACATATAAAATTAGAACAAATTTAATCAAATTATACTTAAACAATAATGAAATACTTATACATTAGACATTTATCATACCATATCAGATAGACATTAGACGAGCCTTAATAGAAACGAAATCACATTAAATATCAATTCAAGGGGAACACTCTTACTATTATTTATAAAAACGTAATGACACAAATGATTCTCCTTGTAAAACTAATATTTGACTTTTCAAATTAACAAACATACATTAAGATACTCCCTCCATATCAATTTATTTGTCCAAGTTTTCTTTTACTTTCCCTCTACAACAAATTAAGAGTCCATTTGGTAACACTGAAATCGGCTGATTCTGCTGAAATTTATGAAAAAATAGCTAAAATTATATTAAGGGGGTGTTTGGATCTGATTCTTAAAACTGCTTCTGCTCCTCCAGGGAGCAGAATCAGAAGTTGGAGTGTTTGGGTGAAAGTGCAGAAGTAATTCTGGAGCTCTAATTTGCTCCTAGAATCAGTTTTTTTAGAGGCTAGGGGAGACTAGCTTCTGGAAATTGATTCTGATTCTGCTTCTACTTCAAAAAAGAAGCATAATCAGAATCAGTTTCAAACACCCCCTAAGAGTCCATTTGGTAACACTGAAAGTGGTTGAAGTGATTGTATTGGTTGACTTTGGTGATTTAAGAAAAAATTATATTTAAAATATATTTTATTAAAAAGCAAAAAAAAAATTATATAAAAAATAGCTAAAATGGTTATCCACAATAACTTCATCCAATACCGCCAGAAAAGTAACTCAAACCTTACTTTTTCTTGTTATTACACAATTCAGCGCACGCAATCAAAGGTTACGCGTTTGGCTAAAAAGTTGACTGATAAGCTGAAAAACAGAGTCACCAAACGGGCTCTAATGGTCTCAATTCTCTTTTTAGAAAGAAACTTACCCTAAAAGCAGCTACAATACTGCTACAGTACGGCTACAGTAACTCTATAGTACTAAAAACTTCTTATTTTTCAAAAAGTATACAATAATTATCTTAAACTATATGAACTAACAAATGAGACAAATAACAAGAGACAATTTTGGTAAAAATTACGGAGTATGATATATTGTATTGATATCATTATCGTCAAGTTGTATGTACATTTTGAATAAATCATAAACATATCTACTCTACATATATAAACACAATGATGTGATCAGAGGGATAAATTATACTCCGTACTAGACTTGTACAAAGAACTTTTCATACAATACAAAACCTTTTACACAAAAATTTATTTATTTTTTTCCCAAATTTAGGGTGAGTTGATCCGTAGTATGGCCCTCTCCAAGCCACACCCCTGAGACCCTAATTATGCGTAGCGTACTATACTAAGTAACTACTAATTAATTTAGAGTGTTGAAGAGACTTGAAGTTGTTTTGGAAGTTGGTTCCATATACTTTGGAAGTAATTTGTTATATATTTTATGAACCAAGAGACTTTAGATTATACGACTAGACTACTGACTAGTTATCTTCAGAAATGTAATACGAAGTATATGATTACAAAAATGTAAGATTATGTTACTCGTACTACGTACTGCGTATGCGTTTTGGATATACATTAAGGATTGTAAAGTATATAACTCAAGGCCTCAAAAGGCAAAATGGAATAGTAATATACCTAAGCATAGTGAAGTAGTAATATTCAATCGGTGTTTTGTGCGACATTCACCCCATACATCTTGAAGTATAAGTCACTAAAACTCTAAAAGTACCTATATCATCACGTATATTCAATAGTTCGTGATTAAAGACGTCTTCTTTACATTTATAAATAGTTGACTATGTCCTTAGATATTACCAACATTGTGTGTTTAGCGATTATGATTTGCACAGGAGCATTAATAGTCTTACACTCCAGTAGGAAAAAAGCCCATCAATTCCTAGCCTTGTTTAATTCCAGACCAGAATTTCGTAACAAAATCAAGGGTGGTGACTTGTGAGACTGACCGGTGACAGGTATGGACTAGATTTAGGCATGGACCCAGTCCGGTCCCGGTTCCGCCCTCCGGGCGAAGACCAGTCAGTCCTTGCAAAATAAAAGTGCGGCCCAAGACCGGCCTGCCAAGCAGCAGTCACAGAACGGGTCAGGTAGACCGGCCGTTCTGCTCCCGGTCCTAGTCAGGGTCAATTTTTTTTTAAATTGTCTAGTTGTTGGGGACCAAACTGGTCCCGATTCTAAAAAAATCGCACCCAGGACTGGGTTCCGGGTAACGAAGACCGGGGACGGTCCTAGACTGGGACCAAACAGTGCCGTTCCCGATTCCGATCCAAGCGGGACCTGCGGATCGGGTCTATCAAATCTGGTCATAATATGGAAGAACCACAATCAAATGGACAGTTTCTCAGGCACAAATTAGGCAAACGGTCCAAGACAGGAACCATCTCCAATAACTATGTTCATAATGCATATGTTTAATACATTATGCATTTCACAAGATATCACATTATAACATTTCATCGTGTTACAACTTATGTCTCAACTTATGTCTTAGGGAATTAGGTCGCATACTCGCATTTCAAACTTGTAACAGGCATCATCGTTAGAGAAAAATCTTTGGCCAAATGTGTAGGGGAGGAATCTGATAACCCCAATTCAGATCATTTCTAGGAAAAAGGATAATTCAAGCATTTGTGAAACCATGCAAAAAAACTAGAATGCTTTCTGGCAGGAATAAAAGCAGATATGTAGGGGAGGAAAAGGTGCAAAATTGAGCATAGCTCTAGCTGTCTCTTTAGCGGTTCTAAGTTAAAGAAGCAATTATGAGATATTTAAAAACTGAAGGGAAAAGAAAAACATTTCAAATCTGGAGGCTTCTCTTTTTATTTTATTTTTTTTAATTTTGCAATCAAACCATTAACCATATGTCCATATGGCTTTCCATGTAAACAGAGGGATGTACCAGTTCATTTTCTTAATACGCATGTCACCTTATCATGTTTCAGTCATATTAGTAATACGTGAATATATAACAGCCAAAGTATTCTTGGCTGACCAGTGCAGCAATGCAGCAACTCATAATCTTGATGTGTAGAAAACAATGCTGTCATGAACGATCTAAATGGAACAAAATAGAAGAAACGCCATCAAGTTCTTTTGTGAACAAAATTGATACTGCAGTTAAAAAGGATGTCAAATGACAGATGTAATAGACCATGTGTTTGTTCATACAACACATAACAACGATGTCTAGATAGTAAATATGAAAAACACATGAAGTTTAACTCCGAAAATTTTATAAATAAAGAGTAGGCTCCTTGAAGCACTGCAGCAGTAACCCGATTCTTCATCCATCTCTTAATCATCAGTATCATCAGCATCGGGATCATCATCATCATCATCAGGTTCAACGTCAACAATGTCAGGAATTGAATCCAAATCTGAATCGTCTTTTTCTTGCATAAACCCCTTACCTCCGCTGTCCAAATAAGATATTGAAGAAGAAGCGATCTTATCCAGAACTGAAGCACCTGCCCCCTCCATCAAAGATAAGTTGTTATTTAGTAATTCTGTGTCTCCCCCCTCCATCAACGATAAGTTGTTATTTGGTAATTCTGTGTCGGTTTCCATGGGAACTAAAGCACCGGATCTTGCATTGTCAGCATTTTTAACTTGTTGCTTCATGATAGGTTCTTCAGCGTGTTTTTGGTCATTTGTGACCTCTGCAGCTGATTTGAGGCATAACAGATTGTTATTTAAGGAAGCTGAAATCTCTTTGGTGTTGTTACTTTTATTATCCATTGTAACATCAGATGGAGATGGAGCTTCTTCAGTTGCATCATCATCATCAATACTCATCCATCTCTCATGGAGCTCATCATATTCTGACACTACTAGTTCATCTTGTCTGGTTTTTGACATTTCGTGTATGTTGGAGTGAACTTCTTGTCCAACTCCACCACCTGATTGTCTGAGATTCGTGAACCTCTGATATCGGCTCCTATCATAATCAACGGTAGATTGGTGATCCAACAATGGGAGAGCCCGTGGGTGTACAAGCACTTCCAGTGTCAAAAGCGCATGTGCGCAGAAATGGGAAAGCCTTGTTTCTGTTTCTTGCACTCCTGCATTGATAAGTTGGTAGTAAGTAATAACATGCAATGAATATCACTACATAATTAACACCGAAATGGGTTCTTTTAAAATTGATATCACTCAGTGATCCTTATTGCATTGTTTAAGAAATCCCGTCAAGCCCCGATTAATCCCCCCTCCTAATAACATTCAGATCCCAGTTCCCACCAAACTACAATGAATTGCCGACTAGCCACTAATCTAGGACCCTACCATTTCTAATCAGAATAATACTACTCCCGTCCCAAAAAAAATTGCCATTTTCATAACATTAAATGATATTCTAGTCAAACTTGATTAAGTCGACTACAAATGTCATTTTATGTTGAATGAGGGTAAATTCCTAAAAAATGATTTCCCTGCACAATTCTGGACACGAAAACTCTCACAAAGCACCATTTGAGATTTAAAGAGCATTAAAAAGTGCCAAAACTTATATCCATACTTTAATTAACCCAATTTTGTAATACTCTGAATCAGTCCATTTTGATCAGAATTTACCTTGGTATTGCTAAATCAAACACTCGTCTTGAAATGGGGTATCATAATCATACTTAATGAGTTGAGGTACCAAAATCATACAAATAATAAGTTATGGTACCATTTGAGCACTTTACGCATTTTGAAATACATTATAATCCAGCATGTGATTTTGCACAAGTATATTATACACATTCAATTAGCATACTTAGTGACCATGTATAGCCTCCATCATCATTTCATCATTTTCATTTACCGCAGTGCCGCAAAGGCTCCCACCTACGGTGGGGTAAGGGGGGGTCGGATGTACGCAGTCTTACCCCTGTACTAAAGCACAAAGAGACTGTTTCCGAATGACCCATAGTAAAAATCGCATCCAAAATTGCATGGACTAACTGGTGCTTCATAACAAAGAAGCGCAGACAGTTTAGTGAGCCATTTTAATTAGTGACCATGTATAGCCTCTTATGTTAGAATCCTTTTTTATTATAATTACAGAGAATAATAAATCTAACATCAGGGAAAAAAAGTGAGTGAGGATTTCAAGTAGAGTGCATTCAGCTACACAATATCAATAAATGCTTCTTCTTGTCTACTCATGATAGTGGGATCATCTAATTCAACCTAAAAACACAAGATTACATATGTAGACATCTGCTCAAATACCGGAATATGGTTCCAAATTCCAATTATATGTCTTAAAGGTCTCTATAAAGCAACCGATTTGAGATAAAGCTAGGGTTTAGCAAAGAATTTTATGGTGACAATGTAAAACTACAGCACTTACCTTTACGAAAAAGATCGAGTCCAAAGGATAGGTGTGGAGGACGAACAGGTATAAGACACTGGGGCATCTCTGGTAAACGAATAAGACGAGAGGACAGAAGAGAAGCCAAAAGTGCATGTAAAGCAGCAAGTTGAAGTTCTGTCCAGTTACAGGTAGGTGTTCCATGAAGAAATAAACTGCTCTCTTCTTGGGAAAATTTTACTTGGCAAGCACTTGTTGCAACAGTCATGATAAGGTCATCAACCTTTGAACGCCAATCCCCAGATTTCCAAGAACCACCCTATTAAATAAAAAAATAAAAAATCCATTATGACAGAATCTGTTAACCCCTTGTACTTAAAAAGTGTTTACAAAAAGTGCCAAAAAAAGAATCCAGTCCGATAAATAAAAACTAAACTGACTTTTCACGTAACTTGTTCAAAAACTGCACTACTGCAGGATAGAGTCAATACTCCGTCACATAATACATTTAATCAGACCAACAATTTTTTGGGACCGGTGGAAGTGTTGCCTTTTCTTTTGCATCTTAATCAGCCGGATAAAGGGATGTAAATTGGTGAAATGACTGGAGTATTGTGCTTAACCTTCGTCGTGACTCTTTCACCTAAACGAATGAAATATATTGGGGCTACAGAAGATTACTATACCACAGTTAGAAGAGCTTCCAATGCCTCTAGTGCAGCTATCTTCCAGGATATCTGTGTTGGGTCCCTTGGATTTTTTACTTTGGTGACCTTACCATCAGGCTGGTCTTCTTGGGATGCCATACTATCTGCATGCTTCCTTTTCTTCTTGCTGGTTCTGAGTTGCACATCCGCATGCATCTTTGCATGATCACTAAGAGACGTGCCCTCCTCAGCCAAATCCATTGAAGCATTGTCAATAACTGCCTGTGCTAAGTGCGCTGATATCCCTGTTGTCATATAAACAATGCAATAATCAACTATTCAAATTGAAATGTCAATGAATCTTTCAGCGATTGTGATCCCAGCTTAGTTCCAGCAGTGTTCGTTTGAACCCATCCCCAACATCGATTTAAAGACAGCCATTCAAAAATATTGATTTCTATTTTTGATAGGATATTATCTAATTTGTGAAAGGAATAGAATGGGTTATAAAAAGCTCTTTAAAAGTTTCACAAACTTTCTGACCACTATAAATGTTCTTTAGGCAATCATATGGTCACGTTTATGAAATATGACAAGCAAGCTGCATATCAGGTAACAATTCAAGCTTACTCATCATATCATAATAAAAAATATTCATTATTTTAGAAATGCAAATTGGTGCATATAGTTTACATGCTAGAAGTTGATTACAAAATAAGAAATACTTTTCATATATAATACGTAGTATATAATATAAAGACAAACAAGAGAAAAATGTATACACCTATATGAGTTAAATCACTACGTAACATAACCAAAGGGTATTCTGACATATTCAAAAATAGAAAAATTCAGATGATTCACGTATTAATGTTCTTATCATATGAATCCCTAATACTCCCGCCGTATTTAAGTGTTCCCTACAATAGGTTTAGGCACACTATTTAAGGATGAAATAGTAGGGGTAATGAATAGTGTAGAAAAAGTAGGAGAGGGTGGAAAAGTATGAAAGAGAAGATAAAAAGTAGACAAAGTAAGGGTAGTTGAGTATTTTTAAAGGTAAAACTTTCCAAAAAGAGAAAGTGTAGCAAACCTTTAAATACATCCAAAAAGGGAAAGTGTAGCAAACTTAAAAATACGGAGGAAGTATGTTTAAATGTTTAATTCTAGCAATATAGGACTTTTATGGGTGATCTTCCTAAAATGACACCCAGATTCCCATCTACTGCCAGCAACTCCTAGAGAATTACGTGCTCACTGCTAGAGAAAAATGTGTGCACCTATATGGATTAAATCACAATGTAACATAACCAAAGGGTATTCTGGCATATTCAAAAATAGAAAAATTCACATGATTAATCTCACCTATTAACGTACTTATCATATGAATCCCAAATATGTTTAATTCTAGCACAATAGGAGTTTTATGGGTAATCTTCCCAAAATGACACCAGTTTCCTATCTATTGCCGGCAACTCTAGAGACTTCCATTCTCACTGCTAGCATCATCTTTCATCTTCGCCATCAAGCCTAAATTTTGTCCAATCAGATAAAAGAACATAGGGGTGGCCAACTAAATGAAAAGACCCAACTAACAGTCTAGGAAGATGATTTCTCCCATGCCCAGATCACCAGACAAGATCTGCTTGAAGCTGAAACTTGAAGAAATTAATGGACAAAGCAGCTGACAGCAGGGACATCTTCTGAGAATACACTTGAGGAGCCAAACAACCAGAAAGGCTGCCGGTTGGGATAAAGAAGCAAAGAACTGAAAAAGACTCCAACACAGATCTTCAAACTTCATAAAATAAAGTTACTTCATCTTGGGTAGGTGGAACATAAACCTTCTACTCCAATCCATGGAGAGGAGGAGGTCATTTAAGAACTTCAAACTTTGCGCCAATGAAATCTGAAACCAAGGAAGTTTGGATGTTTGAATATTTCTGAAAATTCAATTGGAGAATGGCTAGGCCTTATCAAGTGGTGAAGAATCTAGAGAAGTTCTCTCCATAGAGAATTAACTCGCAAACCCCTTTTCGGAAGAATCAGCCATGAATTTGAACAATAGGAGTAAAAGGAAGCACATGAAAGAAGAAAGGGTAGAAAATAGAAAAATGGGAAGAAAAAGAAAAAAGAAAAAAATAGCATGGAGATCAATACGGCAATAACAATAAGCCACATGGTCAGATAACATTGTAAATTGGTTTATTATTGAGATCATAAAAGAGTAATGTATTATTTGGGATTAATATGAGAAGAAAATTAATAGGTGGGATTATTCCTATAAATTTTTACTAATAAATACTATATACATACCGACCCCCATTGATAATAAAAGGACTTTTACTACTGAGTACAACTTTATCCGTAGCTCTGGCAAAGCACATCTGTCAAAATAATCTGTGAGCAGTCGTACGATACCAGCAGCATGTGGTAGAAGTTGGCTGCAAACAAAATAAAACAAATAAATAATAAGGAACTATTGCTATTCAGATAAATAGCGAATTGGAATAAATAAAAAATAGAATACAGCATGTAACTACAGTTTACATTATGGAAGTCCCAATTACCCCTCTCCCTGAAAAAGGTTCCCCTTTGACATGACTGCACTTGTTACGAACACTGACTTCGTGGTTGAGAATTATGAATTGAAAAGAGAAGTAATGTGAATCACATAATTCTTTTCTTAAAAGAAAAAAGGAACCATAATTAGAGATAGACGGAAAAGGAAAGAGGAAGGGGATTTTCTTGGGCTGAAGGAGTAACTTTTTCTTTAAAACTTTCAAGTGTTATGACTGTAGATGGAAGCCCAACACCCAAACAAAAACTAGAAAGGTTAATAATGATTTCATATCTAGTAACTGCAAGAAAAAGGCCGTACTCTTAGTCTTTTGAGATAATAAAAAAGATCGAAGTTTTCATTTTTGCCTATAACTTTAGTACCAAGATACAATTACGATACATGCATTTCTACTTAATGTAAAAGATTAAAAGAGTACTCGAGGTGAAAACATGTTTGGTTCAGGTAAAAGTAAATTAGATAGTATATTGGAGACCTTTCTATAAGAAGAACCTTGTCTTTTTGTTTAATGATACCTTAATCTTCTAATGCCTCAGTGAATAAATTTCCTTTTAATCTTTTACGGGAAGTCCAAAATCTACTTAATTTTACAAATCGTATGACCATTTCTTAAGACCTCTACCACTTGTGTCACTAGTCTTCAAAATTTTCAAAATCAAATAGTTCTAGATTTTAACGCTTTCACTTTTCAAGAAATTAAATTAATGTTCACCTGTGTAATTCCTTAACTAGAGTAATGATGAGTTCCAAGCTGCACAAGTGCAGAAGTGGGAGTTCTGAAAGAATCAATTCTTGTTTCAATGTAGTCATGAAAGCATATAAGCCTGAAGCGGAACCATCTACCATCAGAACCCTCTTAGTGAGGTCTACTAATGCACATACAGGTACAGCAACCTATCAAATAAAAGGAATCAAACTTTATGAGTTGAGAATAACACTACACTTTAAATCTCAGGGATTAAAGCTATTTCAGTTTGCATGACAGATTCGCAAGGGTAAATATAGACTTACTTGAACAGAATATGAACTAGTAAGCATCGTAGAGCAGCAACGCATCAAAATAGAAATCCGGGTCATGAGAAGGTGCTCAGATCTATTCATACTCTCTGATGAGCTTTTTCTTGTCATGCCTTGGCCTCCAAGTGGAGGTGGAGCATCTTTTCCAGGGGGAAGCAACAACCTCATGGCCTGATTATGTCTAGTCTCTGGCTCCAAACCTTGAAAGGAATCATGTAGTTGACTATTAACAGAGAGTAAAATCTTCTGCATCATCAAGAACCAGGTGTCTGCATCTCCTTTGGACTTCGGAAGCAGAACCAGACATTCACCTAGCTTCTGAAAACTAAACCCAAATAAATGTCTGCTTTTGGCAAATAGTTAACAATAGAAGGTTGTGTCAAAAAACAATGCCACCCCTTACCTTCAACAGACTTTGACTGCACTTCCCTGACATGAATTTTGAGACAACAGCAGACTCAACCTGCCAAAATTACTGTAATGTAAGAACCAAATGTACAATGATAAGCAGTGTGGTCAAATTATGGAAGTGGCTGAAATATAGAAATTTCGGCATTTGTGAAGAATGGCAGAATATGGTGGTGCCAATGTGCCATATGACTGAACTTTGACCATCCGCCACAGTCCGCCATTTATAACACTGACGGTAAGGAATTATTCAGGGTCACCATTAGTGCCTATGAAACTCAAGGCCTCGAACAGAGAAAAGGTAAAACACAAAGAAGGTTTTTAAAGAAACAAGAAATGTTCTGATAATAAGGAAAAGAAACAATAAATATACTTGCCCCTATAAGAAATGAAAAAACCAGTACTGGTGCTTGGAAGAGTATCCAAACATTACAACACACATCATGAACAGGTATACCAGATAACCCATATTATGTCTATCATATAAGCCATCTGCCAAAATGATGATTAATATACACATTTGGCAGGCTACCTCGGCTTTATCCAAACCAGATTGATCATTAATAGAATCAGTGATAGACTGATAACATATTTTAATTTGTTACTTTTATATGGATAAGGTTGTGATGGTTCTACATCTTCTTTAAGAGCCAAGATTATGTTACATTGATCGAAACACTCAAACAAGTTTAGGAATAAGAAAAGCCCAAAAGTATGAAAGGAGGTGTTATCTGGAAATTGATAAGAAACTTACTTCATCATAAAATCTATGAACGGATGAAGGGAAGACATTTATCAAAGTGCAGAATAGTGAAATAGCTTCCTCCTGCAAATGTCAGGCTAAAGTTGGAATGGAAAATAATGATAGAACACAATGCTAGAGATATCAAAGATTTAAATCCTTATGCAGGCTAAGTCACCCAAAAGTATGCATTATATACAACTTCTTATGATGATTTATCAAAGATGCATTCACCAACCCAAACAACAACGGATGTATCTTCAATAAGAAACTTTAACACCGGTTGAATAACTTTTGTGGCTTGTGAAGTCCCATCTTTCTTTGCATTACTGAACCCACTCAGCCTATTCAAGCAAATTCAACATGTTAATCACACTGCATGAAAAGAACGTGGATTCTGGTTTGGGATACTAGATGGGGATACCACAATAGTGGTAATGCATGAAATAGGCCAGTAAATATAAAATTGTGTGTATACATATTTGTCTTAGCATGACCTATCCAGTGTTGCAAAATGGATGGAGGCCATGGCCAAAATAAAGCAGGCATCCTGCAAAACTTGTGAAGAGTGGCAGGTGATGGCAGTCTATGGAGGTGTTTATGCTGGCACCATATGGCAGGACTTTAGTCATCCACCATTTGCAAGACTGAATCAGTCACGTTTTCTACCAAACTCGACTGTTATGGTTGAATCTAATAATAATGAATAGTATTCCCTCTGTCCTGCTAAAATTATCCCATTTTTCCTTTTTGTTCTGTCCCATACAAAATTTGGTAATGTTCGTGTGGTTGTAAGGATGTTTTCTTTTGGACTGAAATTTGCTGGTCTGGTCTGGTCTGGTCTGGTCTGTTTAAGTCTGGTCTGGACTGGTCTGGTCTGTTTAAGTCTGGTCTGGTCTGGTCTGGTCTGAACTGGTCTGGTAAACGTTTGGTCTCTGTGTATTTTATAACTACGGAAGTCTGGTCTGGTATGGTCTGGTCTGTTTAAGTCTGGTCTGGTCTGGTCTGTTTAAGTCTGGTCTGGTCTGGTCTGGTCTGTTTAAGTCTGGTCTGGTCTGGGACTGAAAACAGTCCAAAAGAAAACATCCTAAATGTTCTTACTTTATTTTTAGTTTTTTTACGTTATCAATTCAATACCAACCACATAAACTTACTTTTTTTAATAACCGCACCACCTCCTCATGTACAAAACTTAAAGGGGCGGTGGTAGTATGTAGTACACTAGTACTAAAGTTATTTTTTGCTAAATGCTGAAATGAAGGAAAACACGTGTATTTATCTTCTAGATTGTATTTCATTTAGTTTATTTAAAACCCCTCCTTTAAATAAAATAAATATATATTTAAGTAATTGAATGTCTCCAATTTAGACACACGCCTACACTCTAGCATGTTTGGCAACTCAGTAATTTAAGCCAAATTCATCTCCTCACAACTCCAAAATGGACCTTATGATTCACACTCAACCTACAAAATTAGCCACATTAAAAGACAGAAAAGAGCATACTGTAAATACATATGTACGTACATATGATTGACATAATAATAATTGACGTTTGAATTACTGCTTTCCCAATTGTCACTTTGCAAAGAATTGAGGTATTCCAATTCCAATAAAACGTTGCAAGCAAAGGAATGTAAGATTCAGTCACTCCTGACATATTTCCTCTCAGTGTTCTCCATATAATTATTATTTCAACGCCAATCTTTTCACATGATCATATGGACCCAACAGTAAGCTCTTAAAATTATCGGCTTAGCCAGTATGATATAAAGTTATCTTACTACAATGTACTTCAAGTAAACAAACCTTGTAAACAAATCCGATATTGATGCACAGGAAGCTGCCTTCACAAGGTGAGAGTCAGCTGGAGACTACGTTATACATATACAATGTAGATCCTGTTAGATTTTAAGTGGCAGGCTGAATATTTTTAACATACACAATTCACAAGTTGCAACAAAACTGCAGTATACAAAGAAAACAAAAGTAAGGTTTTGTTGCAGATGCATTCTGGGGCAAACAATACAGCAGGCGACAGGGCCAAGAACGAGCCTAGAATATTTCAGATTCATACCCGGACAGTGGGCCCAAATATGCTGAAAAATAAGTGGCTAAAAGAAAACATAAGTTGTAGGAATAGTTAATCTGTAATCTTAAGTGTTGCAGATTAATTAGGAAACTACTCCGTACTATTACTATTATTATTAATTAGTTATTACTATTATTCTTAATTCAGTTTTAGGCAACTTCCTAATTATACTATTATTCCTATTTCAGTTTTAGGCAACTGCCTAATTATTAATTGCCTTTAGGACTCTTGTATCAGCCTCTATATAAGGGTCATTATTATTATCAATAAAGTATCTTTTGGAAGAATTAATTTTGTGTGTCGTGACTAGGTCAGACATCAAAATAATCATAGATTCCTTCCCAGCCAAATACCTTCCCTCTGAATTATAGAAACACTCTCGTCCCTGAATGAGATCATTAACACAGGTTCTTAACAGGTTTCTTGATACAATAGAAGTTGTCAAGTGTCAACCCTCTGGTAAGTATGGCTGGCTTTAACAACTTTCAAACAAATAAAATAATTGATAATAAGATAATAAAAACCTCAAAATAATTTCCAATTGAAACATGTGGAAGTGTGTGATAAGCTAATTGCTTTCCCCAATAGCATATAGAACACAATATGACAAGTCTAAGTAGTTAAATCGCTACTCAGTAGCAACTCGGAGAAGGGCCAAGTAGCGAGTAGGACCAAATACTCAGGATTACTCGGTGATTACTCGGCCCTATATTAATTAGTTTTAAAACATAAACATCTGAAATTATAGTAATATATTATTCTTATAATTCTTAGATATAAATAAAATAATAAGAATAATAATCCTAATGAAGAAGAAAAGAGATAGAAGATAGAGGAGAATAACTTACCGAGAGGAGAATGAGCCGATGACTGAAATACTTTTAAATCTAGACTTTTTAAGGTTAATTTCCATTTTGAAAATACCCACTCATTATTTATAAAATCCATAATATCCCTCTTGAGTTAAAACTTTTAATTAGCTGAGTAACTCGCTAAGTCAAAACAATCCCGAGTCAAGAAACTCGGCGAGTAACTCGGAAAAACAGGGACGGCCGGGTCAGGTTGCTAAACGGACCAGCCACTCTCCGAGTTGCGAGTACTCGCTGAGTACTCATTGGGTAGATAACACAGACAAGTCATCATTAATCAATCATAAAATATCAATTTACTTAAGAAAACATGAGAAATTGAAGTGCATTCTCGTCTTCTGAAAGGTTAATTTTCTTTGAAAACTTAAAAGCATTTATTATACATACTGCTCTTAGTGCAATTTCACTTTTCTGTTAAGCACACAGTTAACTTACTCAAGCAGATTTTACATGCATAAATATATGCTTATTATGCATAACAACAGTCTAGAATGCATCTAGGCAAACACATGATTCTTCTACGTATTACTTAAATGGTGTTTCAAGCTTTTTATAATTATTACTTTACCCTTCAATGCTTCTATCCTCAATTTAAGAATATTTGAGTTCACATGTATCTGCAACATCCATCAACCGCCAGCAACCACCAATTACCACTGCCACTATCGCGAGACACCACAGTCGGCTACCGCCTGCCGCCAACTATGTCAACAACCACCCCCGCTCAATCTCCACTAGGGTCGGCTACCATATAATTGTCATGCCACTATCCTCACCCAACACAGTCGCCAATTGCCATGCCACTATCACTGATTGCCTGTCTTAGCTTGGAAAAGCATGTCTGAGGCGCACCTAAGCGCATAGCGGCATAGTGCACAGTTGTGCAAGGAACTTCACATCCGAAACTTAGGGCGACCGCCTCAGCACGCATCAGACATAAGTAAGATGTGCTCACCTTTGTCGCTTTATATTCCTCTGTGTGACACATTATAAGTTCTTCTTCTTCACCACTATCACTGATTGCCCATCTTAGTTTGGAAAAGCGTCTCTCGGGCGCACCTAGGTGCAGAGCGGGCGCGCCGCGTCGAAAGTTCTGCATCTTCTTCTTATTCTTCGTCTTTTTCTTTTTTCTTCTACTAGTGCTATTTTCTACTGTTCCTTTATCTCCTCTCTGTTAAGTTTGCCACGCTTGCCTCTCTGCTCTACAAGCTAATGCTTTTATAGCTTCTAACTTTCCCATGGGACATCCTTTCGGTTCTGCATACTACTCTTTCTGCCTACTGCTTGCTTCTACTTTTAAATGGTCCAAACTTTCTTATTCAAACTTTTTAAGATTGCAGTAGTTACTTTTGTTTTGACTATTAACTATTTCCATCCTAAGTTTCCGGTATTTGATTTGGTTCCTCATCAGTTTGTGGTATTTTTATTATTTTCCTCGAGTATAAAATATCAATACAGCATGTACTAATAATTTAAAGGTTCTGTAGCAAAGATGTGTGGCTATGTTCCGTGAGGCGCGCGCCAATGTTCTGCTTCTCACGTCTAGGCCAAAAGTTCTTAAAACACCTTGACATGCCTCACGCCTTCTAAACTATGTGGTAGTCGATTACTCGATGGCCACCTCATACATCGACTACCACCCTTCTTCATCCACAGAAGTGTATGTTACCTGTCGATGAGCGCCACCACTGTTGATTGCTATCGCCGACCACCACTGCTGATGGCCACATTTATCGACTATCAACATCTTATATTTTTATATCACCGCCATCATCTGCTAACACCACCACTTTCTACCACCATCACCAGTTTCTGCTTTTCAATCACTATTAGAGAAGTCAATCACATGTTTTAAAAGGCGGGTTTTGAAGCACCCCTCAATGTGAGATATCTTGAGGCACGCCTGAACGACATTTTTTGAGACGTTTTTTATTTATTTCTTTTCTGTGGATGTAACTTAAAAAGGGCCCAGTAAATTTAAATTAATTAACAAAAGACCCAAACATTATATGAGGAGGAGGAGGACTTTAATAGTGATGATGGGAGGTATGATGGTGATAAAGCTATAAGGTATGACCGTATGATGATCCTGCGACAGAGCATTCATGTAATGATAATTAAGCTACCATCCTTGCAAACAACCATCATACATTAGAGAGATTTATGTCACATACATTTAAAAACATGAACTAATTCTTGTGAAATAATTGAATTATTGGCATATTTTCATAACACATTGAGTAATTATTTATGATACTATACATATCAAATTGAGATGGGAATGGTGTGAGTATGAGGCTAGGCTTACTCCCCCATTCCAGCTGCATATCTAAACCCCCACCTCGTCCTTCATTACTCATGCTCCAGGACATCCGAATATCTTATGGGTGCCTCGGGCAAAAGCATCAATTATAAAGTATAACATTAAAATAATATTTTGGTTATAATAATAACATTTTGATTATAATAATAACATTATAAAGTATAACATTAAAATAATATTTTGGTTTGTTTTCTATTTTACATTTTTTTAGTTTTAATCATAAAGTATAACATTAAAATAACTAAAAATGATTAATAATAACTAGGATATAATTACTAAGATCAAATGAAATTATTTTCTCAATTCAACAAGCTCCACCAAGATAGTCAAAATCAATATATGAGTAAATCATTATTATTATTCTTTACGATACAATTATATAAACATTATAATCATTATTTTATCCATCAACAATTCTCGTTTCTTTTATCCTTTTTTTATCCTTTTATCTTTATATATATAAACATTATTTTTATCCTTTTTATTTTATCATTTTTAGGTATAGTCATCTCTTTTTATATTATCTTATTCATAATAGCTTACCTTTTTTATCTTTATTTTCTTTATTTTCCTTTTGGTGGTGATATCATGTATCATTCATGTTAGCCGACCCCAATATCTTTTGGGACTAAGGCTTGGATGTTGTTGTTGTTTACGATACAATTAAAATTATGCAGTATGTGTGTATGTATGCATGCATGGGGGTTATCGTAAATGTAGAGGTATTTATATTGCTTGTGTGCTTATATATGTGTGTGTATCGTGACATTATAATATAATATGTAGTATATAATTAATCAATAACACATACATATGGGTGTGCTTTTGTTCACGTAATAAGTAAAATAATGCTAAAAGTAGAGGTGTTTCACTTTCGTTTGTGTGTGTTTACTCATATATAGATATTTATTTATTTATCAATGTGGGATGCCCAAATGCATTACCTTCCCCATCATTAAGCAATATCTTAGTAAAATGAGCCTTAGTAAGCAACGCTTAGCAGATGCTCAATATTACTTAAGTGGGCTTCAAAGGTTAACAACCCTTGCGGGTAAGAGTAATTAAGCCATGATCAGAAGTTCAAAACATATCATATAAGTTAGTATAGAGCATATGCATTATTTATAATCAGCTACACCTGATAAACATGTGATTTGTGTCATATTGATACTATAAAAAACAAGTTCTGGAAATGTCTTTAGACATTAAAAGAATCACTGAGATTAACTTGGCTACCTGAATATGCGACAAGAGCTTGAGAAACCAGGAAGGGTATGAAGCTAAGAAACGCTCTGAACTACATTCTTGACAGGTTACCCCGAGCAAACATATCCCAGCCCAGCACTTATCTGGCTACAGGGCATTTGTAAAACAAAACACACAATGACACTCATAAGTTTAATGGTTCTGATATTTCTGAAACTTCCAAAATCCGAAAGAAAAGATATTTATCAAAGAGCAGTGTATTTTAAGAAGAAAACTCAGAGGCTCAGACACATTCCAAAAGAAAATCATATGAAATGACAAAAACACGCTAACTGTTAAGTATTGGTGTAACAAACGCTGCAATAGGGAAAACTGGAAAATCATATTCAGCGCCATCTAAAATGATAGTTGCTTAAAAAATCTCTTGTTCCAGCAACAAGGTCAAGACTCGTGTTTGATTTAAAACAAATGGTTATCCACTACATGTATGTGTTGGTACTTGCTTCACATCATGCCCAACAAAAACCCACCTTTATCAAAGAACAAAAACCAACAGAAGGGTACATGCTTCAAATCATTCCCGACAGAATGCCACCTTTACCAAGATAAAAAAAACGAACACAAACTCACTTTTGGGCAATCCTCTATCACATTCACAATCAAAGCATGAAGAAAAGATTCAACAACTAAACTATATAACGAGCTTCTGTTTACCTTTTCGCTCGAGGCAAGATGCTGAAAACGCTTGGACCAGTCATCTACGGCGGACTTCCAATTCTCAATTATCTTTTGGTCGATAGATGATGGGGCTGATTCCGAAAGCAGCCGATGAGTTTTAACGACAGAGACGACGTGAGAGAGATCAGAAGGGCTCCGGAACGGGTGCCTTTCGGTGGGAACATACTCATTCAATAAGGAGCGAAGCAACTGAGGCTTCAAAGCGAAGTCATACATGCCCTGGATATGATCAGAGGCCGCCATTGTATTTGGTGGAGAGTAACAGTAGCCGGGAGACTAGGGTTTAAGACAGACAGTGATGCTTTTGCTTGATTTTGCTGGGGGGAGAGGGGTTTATCAGACGGGTAAACAGGTCGGGTCACACTGTTAAAATTGGTTGGGAAAGAAAGTGAAAAATAGAGAAAGGTATAAAGGCTGGTTTGCAACCACTTTAAAAAAAGCACTTCTCAGCTTTTGGCTTTAAAAAGCACTTATTTACCAAACACTACCAATTTTTTATTTTTCTCGGTTTTCGTGTCAAAAGTGCTTTTCCACTTTTTATACACCAAAAACACTTATTTTACCAAACACTACCAACTTTTACTTTTCAAAATCACTTTTTTCTCAAACACTATCAACTTTTACAAATAATCACTTTTTCCAAATCACTCCAAAAGTGCTTTTTTTAAAGCATAAGCTGTTGCAAACACTCCCTAAAGGTGGTAGAAAAAGTGCGAAGATGAAGAAAAGAGAAAGAAGTGTTATTAATTTTTTTTTAAAACAAGAAAGATGTTTTATTAATGGAAAAAATGTTATATTTAACGACTTTTTGTCTTAAATAAGACTAAATTGTTCTTGATATTCTTAAATGGGACTATGTATATTTTTATTCCCCAAATAGGACTAAATTACACATTTACCCTTAATTTCTTCCTCTTTAATTTCCTGCGCACACAGTGGCGGATTTTAAATTTCCATTTTGGGTGTTCAATTTGTTTTTACAACCAAGAATTTAAAGACATTTAATAATTACACTAAATTTATCCATGTATACTTACACCTTTTTCAGATTTTTGGGTGTTCATGTGTATAGTTTTGAACAATGGTGGCTCCGCCCCTGTGCGCACACCATTGAGAGTTGAGACATCTACTTCTTGAGCATCGTTCTTCTTTCTCCCCTGCGCACATACGTTCTTCTCCTTCACGAGCTCATCTTCTCTTCTTTTCTTTCGCACAGCAACAACAAACCTAGAAGTCAGCCCCTAATAAGTCCACCTCCGCCCTCACCTGCTCATCTTCTCTCCTTCCCCATCGCCGCCGCCGCTATCGCGAAGTCCTCCGCCGCCGCCATCGTGAAATCCACCGTCGCCGCTGTTGGAGATGGTATTCTTCTTCCCCACGCTCTATTTCTTCTTTGATTGCTACAAAATGCCAAGTTGCTATCTGAAAATGCCATCAAAATGACATTCTTTGTCTTCAAAAATTTTGTTTTGTGCTTTGAAAATGCCAATTAGATGGCATTCTAATAAAAATCTTGGCATTCACGTCGGAAACGGCCAGATCTGCAACTGAGGAAGCCTGGTTTGCAGCAGCAGATGACAGATAAGGTGCGACGGTGGCTGGATCTGTAGGGGCAGCGGCCGACGGGGGCTCGAGCCGGCCAGATCTCCGGCGATGCTCGCTAGATCTGCATTCATGGCGACCAGATCTGCATTCATGGCGGTCAGATCTGCAACAGAGGCCACTTTTTTAGGCGACGGCGATCTCCGGCGACTGGCGGCGGCAGACGGCGAACGGCGGTGGTCCAGTGTTCTGGTCGGCGGCGAGTTGACTTCCAAGCATCAAGGGCGCTTTTGTCAAATTATAGATTATAACTCCTATTTAGGAGAATTTTATACTTTAGTCCTATTTTAGCAATTAAAGATTGGTTTAGTCCTATTTAGGTAAATACCTCTATATTTAACCTAGGTATGTAAGATTAGTTTCAAGTCATGGACCTAGAGTAAGACAAGGTATACTATGTAAGATTTTATATAATGTAAATGTCATATTTATATGGTCCGGATCAAGGTCAATGCAAGCGTGAAATTAAAGAAGGGATTAAACAAATTAAGGAACATATAAAAATATAAGGGATAAGGGTCAGATAGGGCCTCGAACTCGAAAAAAATGTCAAATAAGGTCATATTTCGGATGCTCTGTCTGGCCGACGCCATTTGGGGCGGTTCCCGATGGAATTTTTTGATGATTTTTTTTGACCATCTTCCTCATTAAGTCTAGTTTACCCATACCAAATTTCATCTAAAAACTCAACCGGGAAGGTAGTCAAATGAATTTTTGAAGATAACTGTGAAGTTAAACAACGCCGTACATTTCGGAAAATTATTTGACTACCTTCCCGGTTGAATTTTTAGCTGAAATTTGGTATGGGTAAACTAGACTTAATGAGGAAGATGCTCAAAAAATTTCATCAAAAAATTCCATCGGGAACCGCCCCAAATGGCGTCGGCCAGACAGAGCATCCGAAATATGACCTTATTTGACATTTTTTTTCGAGTTCGAGGCCCTATCTGACCCTTATCCCAAAATATAATTTGTACTAATAATCCTAGTATGTGTGCTTGTTCAAAGTCATTTTATTTACTCATTTGATCATTTCTACGGTAGGAATCGTGAATGCTACAATATTAAAGTATATGTAAATGTTTCAATAAAGTAAATCATTTCAATTTGTTTTTGGGAAAAGGGTCAAATACACACTTCTACTACTTCAAATACATCACTTCAACCCATATACTAAAAAACGTCATTGAAATACGCTTACTTTAAAAAATTGTTCAATTCAACCATTTAACTGGGTTTTAACCGGTTTCTTAATATTTAAAAATCTAAAAAAATGTTAACATTCGAATAATTGTTAATAAAGTATCTGAACAATTTAAGAATGTCAAACTCTAAGTTATGCCATTTTTTATTTTTATTTTTAAATTTTACATCTTTTTAAAGTTTTTCGACTATTTATTTAATATTTTTTACACATTAACTTTTTTCATTTTTCTGTTTTTTAATTTTTTTTGTTTAGTGTTTTAAAATTATTAATCTTTTTCTCTCTTTCTAATGAATTTATATATAATTATTACATTATTTTTTCAAGTTTATATGATTTTTCATAAATTTCTTATTTTTTCAATTTATTTTTTAAAAAATTACCTACTCTAGAGGGTCAAAATGGCTCGAGTGATTCTGCTTTTCAAAGTAAGGGGGTGTTTGGAACTGATTCTGCTTCTGCCTCTGCTTCTTTTTTAAAGCAAAAGCAGGATCAGAATCAGTTTTCAGAAGCTGATCTCCCTCAGTTTCTAAAAAACTGATTCTAGGAGTAAATTAGAGCACCACAATCACTTCTGCACTTTCACCCAAACACTCCAACTTCTGCTTCTGCTCCCTGAAGGAGCAGAAACAGTTTTAAGAATCAGATCCAAACACCTCCTAAATACCCATATGATACTTTTTTTAGTAGAGTGGCTCAAATGATGGATTTGAAATAGTAGAAATGTCTTTTTGTCCATTTTCCTTTTACTTTTCCCTGATAAAATCAAACACAAAAATAATTTTTCTTAGCAATAATTTTTATTCCGCTCGGATATCTTCAACACCAAACATATTGTGACACTATTATTATAAATTAAATTCCACTTTATACTCGTTTTACCAGACACTGTCCATCAGGGACGGATTCAGGATTCAACGTCAAGGTGGCGTAACTTTTTTCGTTTGTGGAGGGGGTGAAAATTTTTCTGCTAGTGTAGTAGGCGAATTTTTTCACTAGTCTAGCGGGGCGATTTTGTTTTTGCTAGTATAGGACTCTGTGAATATTTTTTATTCAAAAAAGTTCCTTTGATACACATACACGACAATAATTAACAATAATTAAATCTATTACATTCTAAGTTTAGACAATGGAAAAGTAACTTTGATTTTAGGGATAAGGGTCAGATAGGGCCTCGAACTCGAAAAAAAAATGTCAAATAAGGTCATATTTCGGATGCTCTGTCTGGCCGACGCCATTTGGGGCGGTTCCCGATGGAATTTTTTGATAAATTTTTTTGAGCATCTTCCTCATTAAGTCTAGTTTACCCATACCAAATTTCAGCTAAAAACTCAACCGGGAAGGTAGTCAAATGAGTTTTTGAAGATAACTGTGAAGTTAAACAACGCCGTACATTTCGGAAAATTATTTGACTACCTTCCCGGTTGAATTTTTAGCTGAAATTTGGTATGGGTAAACTAGACTTAATGAGGAAGATGCTCAAAAAATTTCATCAAAAAATTCCATCGGGAACCGCCCCAAATGGCGCCGGCCAGACAGAGCATCCCTTGATTTTATAATTGAAATGATCTAGATTTTTTTTTGATACATTAAAGCGTAAGAAATGGTAAATGCTAGAAAATTGTTTGAAAATAAGAAAGGATATATAACATTTTAATTATCAAATTATTTGAAGAAAAATCTAAAAGGTACATTTATATTAATACTTTTTAAACAACTCTTGTCTTATTTAGCCACATGAAACGCAATAAAGATTTGATTTTTGAATTACAATAGTATATGTATGAGATTACTATTTTTAGAATAATATTATGATACTAATCCATATATATGGTGTACTATCGATCTATTATATTTGTATTATATATGATACTAATCGCATATTATATTTGTATTAGTGCTAAAATAAGTTAAAGTTTACTATCGATCTATACAATAATTTTTTTATGAAGTGTACGAACTAAATGAATTGTGTGATTTAATATCAACAAACATTTATATTTTGGATTCACTCCACATGATCTAAAATTGTTTAACTAGTGTGTCTTGTCTTTGATTTCATTTAAAAATTTCCAAAACCGAGTACTAATTATCTAACAAAGATAATTTTTTTGGAAGAATCTAACAAAGATGATTAAACATTACAAAACTAGGAATTTTTATATAATAAGTATCCTAAGTTTTAAACAATAAGTTGTTTCTGTTATTTACTTGAATTGTTAATAGTTATTAGAAAGAATATGTATTCGTCAAACTATGCACGAAATGCCCAGAAGGGTATCAAACTATCAATTACCTCTCTTATAAATATGAGTTAACATCATTGTCAATCACAACCTCTTGATTTCCAACATAAATTACTTCTATGTGACCTCGATCAATACACATTTATTTTAATTACTTTAGCTTACTAAGATTGCGTAAATAAATTGGCCCCGTCCGTAGAAACGTGCAAGAAAAATTATCATTCAGGGAAGATCATAGCCTCATAAGTAAACTATAATGACGGAAGTTCAAAAGCAAATAGAGGTGGTGAATAAGGAGAAAAAA